CATGTATTCTCCCTCAAAGTGTTAAGGGCATTAGTTTTTAGGGTATATAAAATTTGCTATTTGGGGGGATTTTCATGTAAGTACTGTGTCTTCATTGGAAAAGAAAATGTAATGCTTTCTTTTCCATGACCTGGAGCTGTTTAATTAGCATTAGAGATATCTACTGCTTGATGGTTTTATAGACTAGTCCTTGAAATCATCCAAGTCTCTCCTCAAAGGGGCAAAAAGGGAGGGTGATGATGATTATGGGTCTTTGACAACTTTGTTTTTTCCAGATACTGGTCTGTTTGAATTTCTCCTTTTATGGACAGTTTGTTAATTCATATTATCATAAGAAATCATCTAGTTTTCAAAATTAATTGCATATATAGATATTTTTCAATTTCCTTTTTATCTGTACTTATTTTCTCATTTAAATGTCTTATTTCATATATTTGTTCTTTTTCCTTTTTTTCCCCTTGTTTATAGACTAGCTATTGATTTCTCTATTTCATTGCTTGAAGTAATCAACTGTTTTATAATTCATTATTTTCTAACTATCTTTTAAATTTATTCTGCTTAGATTTAATGTTTTTATTCCCCAACTTTTTGCATTCGATACTTAGTTCACTTATTTTAATTACTTTTTCATTTATCAAAATAACTTTTAAATGTTTTACATATGTTGGGGTTATATTTTTGGTGCAGTGATGTTAATGATGTTATATCTTCTTTGTGGTTTGTTACATTTATCATTTCAAAGGTTATGGTTGAATTTTGTTGAATTTAAAGTTATGTGATATTAAAATTGTACTCCTAATTTCTACCATCATTTTCCTGGCTTACTTTTGACAATTCCTCTATTTTGAGCCTTTAGTGCCTGTTGAACCTTAAAATATAATCAGACCATGTCAACTCATGCTTTAAGATCTCAGACATCCCTTTACCTTAGAATAGAGTGATTCCCTTTGAGTCTTTTAGCTCCTCCCTATGAATCTTAAGACATTGAGCCATTTTACAGTCTCTTGTAAGACCTCGCTGTCCCCTGCCCTCCATGTCCCTAGCATAGGAGCCTCCTTCTGGTACTTGCAGTAAACTCTTGTGGCACTCTTTGACTCCACAATTCTATTCTCTCAATCTGGAACTCTATTCCCTTAATTCTTCAATTGCTTTATTCTTTGTCATCATGCTTCAGCTCAAATCTTACCTTTTTAGAGATTTTTTCTATCATCACTGTGATCTAACTCTGTAACAACCATATCACACAAACACTCCACTCACATTTCCCTCATGGCCCTCTTTATCTGAATTTATCTTATTTACATATGTATGCAATTTTCATATCTACCCTCACTAGAATTTAAGTTTCTTAAATGCAAGTTTCTTGCCTGAATTCTCCACTATACCTAGAGTGTTTGCCTAGCATGTACTTGGCAAACAATAA